AACTTTTATTTTGAGGGCTGGTTGAGGCAGCACTCGCCTGACATCCCAGCCCTTGAGAGGAAGAGGCAGGAGCATCGCTGTGAGCTGGGGGCCAGCCTGGCCAGGGCATCTTATAGAGGGTGGGTGTTAAGGACTCATGATTACGCGACTTGTGGGCTCCACCACGGACCCCGGGACTTGGCCCTGCGACAGTCCCACGTGAAGCCCATGGCTGCAGCAAGCTGAGAGCCTGCACTTCTCTGTGTTTGGTCCCTTTTTTCTCTAGGTAGAGGAGTCTGCAGAGATCTTCTGCTGTGATGTATCCGTTGATAACAAATACCTGGTCACAGGCTCCAGGAACAGTGCCACAGTGTACCAGCTGTTATACTGACAGTCACCTGCCGTGGCCCTGCTGGTGAAGACCCAGAGAAGACCACTGTGACCCCCGCCCCCTCTGGAGCCCCAGCCCCAGGGGTTGGTCATCTGTGCCTGGTACTTCCAGCTTGTCCTCTAGGTTTTTATGTTATGACTTGGGGCTTCTGTTATCTTTCTACCACTGATTTCTGGAAAACTTTGAGATATGACCTTTGTAATTAATAAAATAAAAAAAACAAAACAGCCGGATACATATCCATTTCTTTCAAGTAACGAAGCCCTTGTGACAGGATTTTCAGGCTGTCCTTACGTATTCTGGTGGTCATGATTGGGCCCTACTGCACATACTTAATGCCGCTGAACTGTACACTGAGAGTGTTAAATGCTGAATTTTTTAATGTATTGTAAACAATTTTAAAAAGAAAAATATCTCGGGGATTATAAAGAGGTATTAAAAACAATGGCAGGGGGCCAGGGAGATGGCTCAGTGGAATAAAGCGCTTCCCTGGCAAGCGCAAGGACCTGAATTCAATTCCTGGTTCCGCAAAAAAAAAAAAAAGACAATCTATGAAGGGAGTGTGAGACATTGGATCATAAAGGCATAGAAAGAGGGCACTTCAACCCCATCAGAAATAGTTACTCTTTTCAAAAATAAATGAAGGGACTGGTGAGATGGCTCAGTGGTCTAAAGCACCTACTTAGAACAAGCTAAGCCAAGTAAAGCACAGGGACCACAGTTCAATCCCCCAGCACCACATGCCAGCCAGCCCCGCCCCCTGGTGGGCTGAGCTGGCCACACACACAAAATAAATAAATAAATGTTAAAAAAATAAA